GCGAGACGAAAAGGGTGATATTGTTCGCTATAAGGCGCGACTGGTCGCTAAGGGGTTCGTGCAGGTGGAAGGGAGGGACTATGAGGATGTGTTTGCCCCAGTAAGCAAGCACACCACCCTGCGTGCCCTGCTGTCTGTTGTGGCAGTGCGTGACCTAGAGTTGCATCAGTTGGACGTTAAGACAGCGTTTCTTAACAGCACGCTGGATGAGGTAGTTTACGTGCAGCAACCCCCTGGCTACGAACAGGGAGCCCCCTTTTTGGCGTGTAAGCTAGGTAAGGCTCTTCACGGGCTTAAGCAGGCTCCGCGTGCGTGGTATGCTCGTTTGAAAAAGGAGCTGGTTGATATGGGCTTTTTAATTTCTCAAGCTGATCCTGGTCTGTTTTTCAAGGATGTCCAGGGAGAGCGCGTGTACGTGCTAGTTTATGTGGACGATCAATTAATTGCGGCCAAGGATCTAGCGGTTGTTCAAAGATTAAAGTCAAAATTAAATAAGTTGTTTGATATCCGAGATTTAGGGGAGGCTCGGGTATTTTTGGGCTTCGAGATTGAGCGTGACCATGCGCAGTGTAGCCTAAAATTGTCACAGCATCGTTTTGCTGTGGACTTAATAAAGAAGTACGGCATGGCTGACGCAAATCCGCGGCTGGTGCCAATGTCCAAGGGCACTGTTTTACGTGCTGAGGGGGAGCCGTTGGACGTGGGGGAGTTTCGTTATGGAGAGCTGGTAGGCAGCCTGTTGTACCTTATGGTGGGCACGAGGCCTGATTTAGCTTATTCCGTCGGGGCTCTGTCCCGTTATATGTCCAAGCCAACGGTACAGCATTGGGAAGCTGCGAAGGGTGTGTTGCGATATGTCGCAGGTACAACCGCCAAGTGTATTTTGTTTTCAGCGAAATCCGCAGAGCCTCTGCATGGCTACTGTGATTCGGATTACGCTAGTTGTGTCGACACGAGACGTTCTACCACCCGTTACATGTTTCTAAACGCGGGTGGTGTGCTGAGCTGGTCTAGCCGTCTTCAGCCAACGGTGGCTATGTCAACCGCCGAAGTATATGTCGTGTATATGTCGTGAGTATATGTCGTGCGGTGCTGCTACAAAGGAGGCCCTGTGGTTTCGTGTTTTAAGTAGTGATTTGAAGTTGGGCCTCACCAAGGTTAGCATCTTGTGTGACAACCAAGCAGCAATCAAGATGGTTGGTAACCCGATCGTCTCCGCTAGGTCGACCGCTCGGTTGACGTCAACGCACATAGATAGACGTGAGCATGCTGCGTGAGGCGAAGTTGTATTCAAATACGTTAAGTCGGTAGATATGGTGGCCGATTGCCTGACGAAGGCGTTGCCTTTGCCTTCGTTTGAGAAGTGCGCACGTGCGATGGGACTGCGCTAGAGTGGTGCTTGTTCTTCGTTTTACAGATGGAGGTCTGCCCGTGGGGGAGTGTTGTGGATTGGACGTTATTCCGGTCAGACCTCTCTCCACTATCGTCTTTGGAATTAATTGTCGTACTTACGGAACTGTACTTTGGTTCCTTTAAGTGGCGGCGGGAAGACATATTCTTCAGTTGCTTGTAACATAACGTGAGCCGAGGCAGCCGTATAGCGTGAGGCACGGAGTAACTCGTAGATTTACAACATTCCGGCCAAGAAGGATAGAAGCAAGGAAGTTGCTGGAAAGTAGCACAAGCCAGCACAAGCAAAGCATTTAAGCAAATTTGCGGTGCTTCCGGAAGAAACTAATAATATGTGTGCCTGCCTTACACCACCCAGATGGCAATCGCTATAAGCGGCCATAGCCCACATAATTCATGAACCCATGCAAGGGCTCCAAGCAAAAGATTGTGAATCTGCTGGAAAGGCTGCCTTACTCAAGACCATAATAGTGTTTTTCGTTCGCTTCCACTGCACAAGGACTTACCAATGGCTTGAGAACAGTACACTCCAAAGAATGCCAGAAGCGAAATGAACAGCTGAATTACTGTGAAGCAAGATAGATTTTTGGAATGGTAAAGGCCCATTCCACTGCCACCAAACCAGGCCATCCAAAATGCTTTTGAATTAAACTATGTTTGTTGAACTCTAGAAATATCTATCCTATTTCACTCACAACAGGGACAGAAACGTATTTGTAGTGGGAGACTACAGCAAGCTGAAGTACGTTGGAGTGTCTGGGAATGTCTGGGAGTACATGGTAATATTATGCATGGTGTATCTGGGAGGTTTATTAAGCATGAGAATTCTCTGGGAAAGGCCATCGTCCATAAATGATTCAGGATCCATATTGTGTGGTTTCCTATCCGTAAAATGCACTTTCGCCAGGATATGGAAGAGCTATGCCGGCATCCCCGGCAACAGATTTTCTTAGCGCCGGCTTTCCTCCGTAAACGGGGACCTTGCTAATTCCCCGTAAGAATGAAAAAACTGCTGCATATGTGGCGTTACTTTGGCCTAGGTCCTTGCAAGGCCTTGCAAGGATCAAAACAAGGGTATCGAAATGTGGCATGTATAATGGAAAGCGGGAACATCCACCTTAGGGGGCCCTACTGTGCCCACTCTTGGAGTGGACTGGTTCCACTAACTGAGTGGATGTCCACTTTGATTACGGCCGATCGTTCAAAATAATTATATTAGCTACATGTAGCTACATACCTCATTTGTAAGATTTTTAAGCAGCCCCTCGCACAAATGTGTCCGGTCGTACTGTGCGGAATAAACAGACCGTACATGACGCCCCAAAAGCCAGGACCGAATTTTACCGCGCGGGTGCGCGCGTGAGATTCACAAAATGCGCGTGTACAAGTGTATATAAATTTTCTTGGCAAAAAAGGCCGAGGTGCGCCAGCGCGTTGCGCAGGTGGGCATGTTGGCCACAGCCGCACGCGGCATGCAGGCCGGAAATGTGGGTGGCTCCTTTGCCGTAATTGAAAGAACTGAAATCATAAAACTTAGCTTGCAAGGCTGGGCTCATGACACGGCCGCGGGAAGAGGAGGCGTTTGGCGAAGCGACACTTTTGTGCAAGCAAACGGTCGCGCCTTTGGTAGTGCAACCAGGGAACGAGCCGATACGGAAACCTGCGGAAGTAGGTTTCGTCACGCTTTCCGCAGCGAAGCCCAGATTGGCGGAAGTGCGGAAAGAGAATCCGCATTTCCGCGTTTGCTGTACGGCGGAAAGTCAAAAACAGATTCCAGGCATGCGTTTGCCATTTAAAGACTGCGTTTTACACTATGAAGTTATTAGATTAAGTCAAATGTCAGCAACCACTGGCCCCGACCTGGGGGCTGCCGAAGTCATAGAGATTGACTGTGTTTCTGCTCAGAACAAGTCGGGTGTCGGCTTCCTCGAAGCCGGAAAAAGGGCGGGCCCCCCTGCCCCCCCGCGGCTCGTGTGACAGTTGATGGGTAGTGTCAACGCGGTGGGAGATGTGCTTTGTTGCAGCAGTGCTGATGGTGTGGGAGCTAAGCTTGCACCGGTGGAATCGTCAGCACCGCCTGCGGGCTCCACGCGAATCGCATCCATGCCGGGTACATGCCGCATGGACAGTGCGGCAGACCGCAAGTCGGAATGCCCATGCGGGCAAATGGTAACGAAAGTTGGGTGTATTCCGGTGCTGTCTGTGATGTTTATCCCCGATGCGCCAGCGGCCTCAGCAATCCGCTCCACAGCCGAGAGCTTCATCGGGGCACACCGCAAGTCTCCGGAGGCCCCGAGCATTGGTTAAGGAAATGTACAAATGAGCAGCTTGCGTATTTCATAGAGAAATGTAAGCAAATTTGTCGGCCTGCTGGTGGCAAGTCGGAATGCCCGTGCGGGCAACAAGCTGGGTGTTCAAATTATCATACGCTGTCATCTCAGAATTCAATTATGAGATACGCGGTACCTTTTGAGATTAAATGTAGCCCGAGAGGCGTTGATGTGACTTTTGAGGTCGGTGAATGGAGGCAGCTAAACTTGTTTGTGCTCATACGGTCTTTTTAGCTACATGCGAGATACCTTGCAATAGAGAATGCGGTATAGTACTGATAACGCGTTTCAGCCGGGTGAAATATTATGTTTGGACCGTTACACACTCAAGGCCCGGGAGTTCGAGTTATCATACGCCGTCATCTAAGAATTCAAATATGAGATACGCGGTACCTTTCGGGATGAAATTTGGCGCGAGAGGCGTTGATGTGACTTTGGCCTCGGTCAATTGAGGCAGCCAAACTTGTTTGTGCTCATACGATTTTTGTTGGCTACATGCGAGATACCTTGCAATAGAGAATGCTGTATAGTACCTATAACGCGTTTCAGCCGGGCGAGATATTATGTTTGGTCCGTTACACACACACGAACACGAACACACACACACACACACACACACACGAACACACACACACACACACACACATACGGACATGGGCAATCCTACAGGTCGGGGCCCCCCTGGGCGCTTCGCGCTGGGGCCCCGCCCCAAAAGGGTGGAAGGCCCGTTGATGACGTTTGGAAACATTTTGATAGAGGCAGAGATAGAGCAAGAACTGCTATGCAACCTGCAAGGGCTGCCGTCGCCACTGGAAATGTGCTCGCCTTCCTGAAATCCGCTTTCACCTTACCCAAGGAGTGCACTGCCATCACTCCTGAGGTCAGCGCCTATTCCTTGTTAGCTATATCTGTCTGGGATGGAGTGGGAAAGCAAATCGTGCAGAGTGTGCGATGAATGATATTCAAAAAGCATGCATGGTGACAGCAGACGAAATGATTGCTGGAAACGGTATCTTGCACATGTGTACACATAGAGGCAGACACTTTTAAGCACATATAAAGGTACACAACTTCCTGGGTAATCAGGGTGACAGACGTGGGAGGGAAATGAGGGTGATCATGATACACCCACAGCATGCACATGGCTAGCAAGGAAAAGGGACGGCAGTATGGCCATTCATTATGAACCGCAACATACCTTTTT